TACCCCTCCATTTCAAACTATAAGCAGTTTAATTTTTTTATATGTTTTTTCATGCGTTACTTTTTTTACATTATATGAAAAATAATTAAAATTTTATCTAAATATAATATATAAACTTGTATGTAAATATATTTTTCCTATTAGGCTCATAAAAGAGGAATTCTCCTTAACTTTGTCGAGCCACCCAAACACCTATTTTTCTTCATGGCATGCATGCACTGGCACGCCTCTAACTATTGCTCTTCTTTTGTGTCATTGCAAATTCCAAGTATGCAGATTCTAAAAAGTCAATCTTGTTTGGTAATTCATTCAAACAAATATTAAACAAAGGGTTACTTGGCAGAAAGGCAACATTGTGGGTTATTATAAAAAATATATGTAAATATGTGATTAAACATGATTGAATTCCTTAATTTTTCTCTCTCTCTCTCCCTCTTTTTCCTTTTTTTTTTACCAGTCAATTCAAGATTATGCCACCCATTTTTGTTTTCTGAATTTAAATAACCTTGATAAAAAAAAAATATTATGTAATTTAAATTGTATTAAACTGTAAAACTTAAATTGTTAAATAGAGATAAGCACCCTCCATTTAATAGTTTTGTGTGTTGTAAGTTCGATGAAATCTAAATTTTAACTTCTAGTGTTGACTAATTTTGCATATTTGCATAGCTATCTCAACAATACCTACCACCCTTCACGATAACAATCACGTTACTATTATTTGATGCAAACGGAATGTACTTTTCATGGTGATATTACCTTTAATTCCAAATCCTGAATCAATTAAGTACATATGACTATGGAAACAAAAAATAACTGAAAATCTAATATGACCAGTTAAGTTTCATCGAATGCCTTCTAAGGGTTTGGTTTGGTTAACAAAACATGTCGGATCGTTGCAGTATAAGTATACTGAATACAGTTAATGAATTGGTTTCACGTTACAGTTTGTAAAGTATAATCCCTTTCTCAAGTTCATAAAATCAATAAGAGGTAACCTTTTTCTATTTTTCATTTTATTCTACTTACATGACATATAATTTGAACTTAAAATCTCTTAATTTCACTAAAAAAAATTACTATTAAAATTATTTAGATCATTGACATGTAATGAGTGCTTATTTATTTGTATTTGCATGTGATTATATATATAGTTAGGATTATGGTTAAGCATTGATGTCACATAAGGGATGTCCTAGTAATTACGAACTTAAATCTCGACATTAGAGACCTCAAGTTTAAATCTTAGAATATGTTAGAAAGAAAAGGGTATCTTATAGTTCATGATGATCTAATGTACAAAAAAACCATCAATTAAGTCTTACTTTAAGCCAAATTAAGCATCAATCTGGCACAAATTCAACCCATGAAGATGAAAGCTACATTAACCTAAAATTGTAATACTATACGCCATGTTAGGAACATTAAATATATATATATATACATATATATATACCATACGCCATATTTCCTCATCTGAACTTTAATGGCGTGGTACCAAATCTGGACTTTAATGGTGTGGGTAAGGTTGAGTAAAAGTTAGGGAATCAAAAGAATATTTTTGGCGAACCATATAAATTGATAATTCATTAATCAAATTAGTGTAAACACAAGAATATACACTCATATATGATGTTGTGGCTCTTGAATAGAGACGGCTCTAAACTCTTGTTGTTGCATGTAATATCATAACAATAAGAGGTAATATGATAAAAGATTTTTTTTTTTCTAATTTTTTTTTCATTAATTTTATAATTCAATTTTAAGATTTGTAATATAGAAGGTCAAATTCTTAATAATTGAAACATCCCTTTATGAAACATGACTATTAAGTTCAAGCTCAACTTAATAAGTGAACAAAATTGAGTTGAAAAGGAAATATTATTTGTGACTCTTCTAAACAAATCTTACATCAACCAAAAAAAAAAAAAA